CCCGCCTCGCAGGAAAAAAAAAACTCACTCGAGAGAAGTCAATAGGATGAAAACATTGAGCATGTGACAAGGCAGCGTGACTTTGTTGATTTCACTCCTTGGAGCTCTCCGGCTGGGCACCATCTGCTTGATCGATAAGACGCGGAGGCGGAGGCGGAGGCGGAGAGAGATCCAAGCGATGTCTTCCCCGCCCGAGTGCCCTCCGGGTTGTTTTAGGACTACAGCTCCCATAATTCATCCTCATTATCCATGGTGGTTCGGGCTGATGGGAACGGAAGTCTTAAACATCTGGAGGGCGCCAGGTTACAGAAGGCAGTTCTAGCTTTGATGCGGTCCTCTAGCGTTTCCCCACCCCCTTCCCCCCTCCCCTCGCATTGCTTCAAGGAAGGATTTCTCAGGAACTGCCCGAATAGTTGAGTGACGCTGTCAGAGTGTGCCTGTGTAGCTTGGGTACGTTGAAAGCAAAAGCATGGGCTAATTCCTGTATAGGTTTTTGGCCCTCAGGTGGGTGCCCCTTTCTAGGATGGACTGCAGATAAATCTTTCCTCCACTTATTCTGTGCCCCCACCTTTCTGCAGCTCTCTCTCTCTCCTTGGAGTTGCATATATATGCAAGCATGATTTCAGCAGATAATGTATTCAGTTGTGATAGATAAATAAAATGCAGGAAAAATACTAGTCAGAGTGGAATGATGCAGAGCAACTTCATGGTCACAGCCAGGGGGGTTCCCCACCTCCAGAATTTCCATGCTTGGAGGACACCTATGGGACAGTGAAGAGAGTCCTGGAAGGACAGAGGAGGTCTGGATTCTCAGTGAAGCTCCTTAGGATTTCACTTCACAGAACAGCTGTTAGCAAAAACTAGATTAACCCTATGTTGACCACTCTCAACTGCCTGGAGGAAAACATTGCAAATATGCCCCTTCTATTGATGCATCATATACTGCAGTGGTTCTTAACCTTTTTGAAAGAAATGCCCCCTTGAGCCATTGAGGAAGTTATCATCGAACGTTAGGAAGAACAACCCTCAGAACACGGCCAAAGAGCACGAAAAACCCACAACAACCATTAGATCCCGGCCGTGAAAGCCTTCGTGAATACATCATATATTTGACTCATAGCCAGTTCATCCAATCAACAGAAGGCGGTGGGACAGAGATCCAAATGACATTTAAAACGCCGTGAAAGCCTTTGGGAATACATTGTATATTTGACTCACAGCCAATTCATCCAATCAACAGAAGGGCATCCAATCAACAGAAGAGATCCAAATGACATTTAAAATTGTACAAATATTGTAGAAATAGCAAAGATTTGGGCAGTTTTTTTAAAATCACTCTCTTTTCAAGATTTCCTTTTTGACTCTCTGATCTTGATGCTTATCACTGATTCTGGATGAGTTAAGTGGAAGCCAGCTGTAACGTATTCGTCACAGTTGGAAATAGACTCTGTTTTCTTCTGTTTCATGTGTTCACAGGCTGTTCTTCAGCATGAAAAATAGGTTCTTAAGCTGAGATCTGGATTAAATAGGTTGTGGACTTGCTTAGATGTACATCACAGAAGGTGGAGCATGTTTTCCCCCCTGCTGCTCCAAAGAGTAGGATCTGAACCAAATTTCAAAACAGGATATTTCAATTGAATATTACCTGAAAGTAATATGTGCTTAATACTGGATAGACTGCTTCAGAGTGGTGTGGACTCCCCTTTGTTGGAGATTTCCTAGTGGAGGTTAAATGGTCATCTGTCACAGATGTGTCTTTGCAATTCCACAGTTTTGCTGTAGAGGTTCTAAAATTGTATGAACCTCATTGACTATCTTCAAGGTACCAAACAAGTTAAATTGAATATGGGGTGTATGCTTGCACAAGACTTTCATCCATCATGTTCCCTGCAGTCCTTTACATTGCCCTGTTCTAAGCCCTACGGATCATGTGAATTTCCTTTGGCAGAGTTAAACAATTGTGTCTTACCCTTTTGTTTTCTTTTCAAAAGAGATAAAGTTGCATCTCTTTGTCCTTGGAGACTGGATATTGATAAAAGTGGTGAAAGCGGGGGGGGAGTATCTATCCAATTATTTTTATTCATTTAATTTCAGATTCAACTTTATCAGCATTACATTTATACACAAAACAGTGGACTGTTGCCTGATTCTGTTTAGTTTGCTTGTCTCTATGCTAATTATATTTGATTTTTTTAATGTTACATTTCTTGCGATTGTTATAGTATTTTTTATGGTTCCAACTGTTTGCCCAGCACTAATCGGGCAGTATAAAAGTTTGTTAAATAAATCGACCAATCGAGCAATCAATCATAAACAATAAAAATTAAAAAGGGGGGGATGGTAGGCATCTAAAATCAATTAAGTGTTCTTATAATTATGTGTTTAGTCAGAGTGAGGAACTTATGGCTCTCTTGATGGTCGGAATGCAGTTCCCATCAGCCCTAGCCAGTGAGATGCAGTGAGCTGCCATCCAGCAATGCCTGGAGGCCAGAATGGTCCGCTCCTATGCTGCATGAAGAAACAAACAATCTAAACAGATTTAAAATTCTTTACTGGCAAGATGTGCTTCATTTATAAGGAATATTATCTAAGAATGAATTGAATGATGATGATGGTGATATAAGGATGCTGATGCAGATACCTGAAATTTAGGGATGTAAATCTCACACCCTCTCAGCTTCAGAGAAAAAAATGAGGGGGGGGGAAACACCTTCCTTGTCATGAGATTTCTCTGCAAGAGTTTCCATGCACCAAGAAATCTTGGGATCTTGGAATATTTTACTGGAATAAACACCAAGCTGGGCAGGATTTCTTTCAGTTCTTGCACAGAACAGTATCCTTCCTGAGCAGGAAAGAAGATACACCAGGAATATTACCAATGGTATCTTTCTTGTATGCAAGTCACCTGGAGATGCAGATGAAACACCAAGTTATACAGGCTTGTTACAATTGTGGGTTCATTCTTTTATTGAAGGTCAGAAAATCTCCCTTCTGCAAGGGGAGATCTTGACAGGGAGTCTTAGCAAGTTAAGACTTTGAAAATCACAGAGAATGAGAAATTTTACCATAGTCACCATAATCACCCATCTCCTGAAAAGAACAAAAGCTGTTATCACAGCCATAAATACTCAACTCCCAAACAATCTGCACCAGAGCACAGAGTGCTGTCCTCTGAAGATGCCAGCCACAGAGACTGGTGAAACATTAGGAAGACGAACCTTCAGAACATGGCCAAAGAGCCCGAAAAACCCACAACAACCATCGGTTTCTTATTTGTTCACAGTTCATATGGGAAAGAGAGAGAAGGGAAGAAGCAGAAATATACACTTCCTTCGTTCCTTCCTTTCTTCCTTGTTTGTTTGTTTGTTTGTTTGTTTGCTTGCAACGTGCCCCATCCTTCTCCTCAAACCATCAAACTGAAAGTAGGAACACAGGACTTTCTTCAAATGAAAGGAAGAAAGACTGACCAGTTCAAAGATGGTTTACATAAAAAGGTTAATGAAACCCTAAAAGGCAGTCAGCATAAAAAGAGAACAAAATGCTAAGCAAAAAGTACACTCAGATTTAAAATCCACTTTAGAAAGGATGGAAGAGTAATTCAGCATAATACACCTGTTTTCCCAATCCAGTTTGTGTTAGGAAGCAAATAATGAAATTTCACCAAAATCCCTAACAGCTAATGGGACACTCTTTCCCAAACATACAGAGTGCAGTTTCCAGTATAAAGGGGTTACTGCTTTTGTTGTAGAGGATGATGTTGCCCAGCCATAAATATTCTCCAGCTCCCTCCTCCAGAAATGAACCTGCCGCAGGGAACTGAAAAGCTGGCTTCCAGCTGACATGCAGGAAAGGTCCAGGGATTCATTCTAGGACCCTGAGCGACAAACATGAAATGAGATGTGATCCGTAGTGTGCTGGAGTCAGCAGGCCCTGCAAATACTGCAGATTGATTACTGAACAGAGCTGTTGAAAAGCCTTGACACTAAATCCCTCACCGCTTCCTGCAAAGTATGCTGTTTGGTATTTAGATGATCATGCTTTTAATAACAAAAATGGAAGGAAAGCAGATTTCCTTTGAGCAGGCTTTAACCACTGTTTGGAGCAGAGACTGGGAAGACGATAGCCGGAAGGCCCTTCTTCTGGTAAACAGGAAACAGTGCAGCACCGCATGAAGAGCTAAAGAGCTGGTATTCTGTTAGAATTCGGCTGATGCATAAAGAACCCTCCTTAAGTAGCCACTGCCTTGAGGAGTCATCAAAGTGCCAGCTGAATGGCACTGAAAAGGGATCGCCCTGCCTAGCTGATCATTTATATATATATCAAGACTTGAGAGTCCCCTGGACTGCAAGGAGATCAAACCTATCCATTCTGAAGGAAATCAACCCTGAGTGCTCACTGGAAGGACAGATCCTGAAGCTGAGGCTCCAATACTTCGACCATCTCATGAGAAGAGAAGACTCCCTGGAAAAGACACTGATGTTGGGAAAGTGTGAAGGCAAGAGGGGAAGGGGACGACAGAGGACGAAATGGTTGGACAGTGTCATTGAAGCGACCAGCATAAATTTAACCCAACTCCGGGAGGCAGGAGGGCCTGGCGTGCTCTGGTCCGTGGGGTCACGGAGAGTTGGACATGACTAAACGACTAAACAACAA